TTCTCCAATCCCAATCCCACCACACCATCCAAGGGTTCTCCAATCCCATCCCACCACACCATCCAAGGGTTCTCCAATCCCACCACACCATCCAAGGGTTCTCCAATCCCACCACACCATCCAAGGGTTCTCCAATCCCACCACACCATCCAAGGGTTCTCCAATCCCACTGCACCATCCAAGGGTTCTCCAATCCCAATCCCACCACACCATCCAAGGGTTCTCCAATCCCACCACACCATCCAAGGGTTCTCCAGCCCAATCCCACCACACCATCCAAGGGTTCTCCAATCCCAATCCCACCACACCATCCAAGGGTTCTCCAATCCCATCCAATCCCAATCCCAGCACATGATGCAAGGGTTCTCCAATCCCAATCCCAGCACATGATCCAAGGGTTCTCCAGCCCAATCCCATCTCACCACACCATCCAAGGGTTCTCCAGCCCAATCCCACCGCACCATCCAAGGGTTCTCCAGCCCAATCCCACCACACCATCCAAGGGTTCTCCAGCCTTTCCTTGGACACTCCCAAGGATCCCAAAAAAACCAATGACCAATGGTGGATAACCAACCCCCAATAACCGACGGCTCCGCGCTCCGGGGGCGTTCCCGGCGTTCCAGGAGCTCTACAGCCAATCCTACGAGGAGATCGGCGTGATGTTCGCCTCGCTGCCCAACTTTGCCGACTTCTACACCGAGGAGAGCATCAACAACGGCGGCATCGAGTGCCTGCGCTTCCTCAACGAGATCATCTCCGACTTCGACGCCGTGAGCCGGGAACGCGCCGGGAACGGCGGGGAGGGGCCGGGTGGGGACCTCTGGGAATGAAAGTCCAGGTGGGGTCACTTTGGGAATAATCGGGAATGTCCAGGTGGGAATCTCGGGAAGAAATGTCCAGGTGGGATCAGGACGGGAACTGTGGGGAATGTCCAGTGGAGAGTCTTGGGGAATGAATGTCCAGGTGGGATCAGACTGGGAATCGTGGAGAACATTGGAATAGTTGGGAACGTCGAGGTGGGATCACAGCGGGAATGACGGGAACATCCAGGTGGGATCCCACCAGGACTCACAGGAACATCCAGATGGGACGGGGAACATCCAGGTGGGATCCCACCAGGACTCACAGGAACATCCAGGTGGGATGGGGAACATCTACATGGGATGTGGAACATCCAGGTGGGATCCCACTGGGACTCACAGGAACATCCAGGTGGGATGGGGAACATCTAGATGGGATGTGGAACATCCAGGTGGGATCAGACTGGGAATGAGGGAGAAAATCCAGGTGGAATCCTATTGGCACTCACAGGAACATCCAGGTGGGATCCCACTGGGAATCACAGGAACATCCAGGTGGGACAGGGAACATCCAGGTGGGATCCCACCAGGACTCACAGGAACATCCAGGTGGGACAGGGAACATCCAGGTGGGATCCCACTAGGACTCACAGGAACATCCAGGTGGGATCCCACTGGGACTCACAGGAACATCCAGGTGGGATCAGACTGGGAATGAGGGAGAAAATCCAGGTGGAATCCTATTGGGACTCACAGGAACATCCAGATGGGACGGGGAACATCTAGATGGGATGTGGAACATCCAGGTGGGACAGGGAACATCCAGGTGGGATCCCACCGGGAATCACAGGAACATCCAGGTGGGATCCCACCGGGAATCACAGGAACATCCAGGTGGGATCAGACTGGGAATGAGGGAGAACATCCAGGTGGAATCCCACCGGGACTCACAGGAACATCCAGGTGGGA